TAAGGTTTTTCACAAAGTGGTATCTTACTATCTTATTATTTTATCAAAAAATAGAAACTAATGAATATCTTAGAATAATAATAATAATTATTTATTATAATATAAAACAAAGTCCTGACACCTAACCAAAATTATATCAAAATAACGAAAATAATTATTTCGAATAACAGGGGGATGAATTATATCATATTTTCAAATTTTTTATTTTTGTCATGTTGTGACGGCAGGGGTCTGAATCTTATTCGCGGGAGCTTTGCCCCCACCTCCGCCATCCCACATTGTTGCGCCACTGTCCACTGTACATGGGCGCTATATATTTGGTCGCACACCCACCAATATGTACCAAGTTGCGGCACTGAGTACATGTACTCTTAAAAGAGTACTAATGGTATTATGGTAACCTTAGTTGTACTGAATGTCGACGGATTTATAAATTCTAAACTCTGTATAAATAACAAACAAGGTTGCAGTTGAAAATATACCTTTTTTAGTCATTAACATTTGATTTACACACTTAACAATACGAAAAAAGAAAAAACTAAAATTCCTAGTATATACAAAATGTATCTTTTATTAATTTAACAAATTTATAATCAATTACAAAATTGAAAATTCACATATTATAACAATTGAACGAACAGTTAAAAATGTATACATTTATATAGGTACATGTTTCAAATAAAAAAAATAAACATAGTTTTGAAAAAATATTTTATAACTGGCAAAAAATAGAGCAAAGTTGCTATTATCATAAGGAAAACATTTTTGAAGATATAATATGTATAATTTTTTATGAATTAGCACAAAATGGCTAAATTATTACATTTTTACAAGTAAAGGATTTTCAAAGTCAAAAAAAGGGTTGGGGGAAACACATGGTTTAAATACAAAAAGGGGAAACATTTAAAAAAAAATTAGAACATTAAAAAAATAGCACAAAATTACTATAATTTAAATGTTGCCAGTACAAGATTTAGCCAAAAAGGGAGGGAGTTGAGAGGGGGAGACAAACAACATTGAAGAAGGAGATAAACAACAACAATTTATACACAAAAAAAAGTTATAAAATTAAAAAAAAAAAAAATACGTCAGTCAGGAGACACAAAAACAAGAAGGGGAGGATACAAGATGGCGATTGGGTGCGGATTTGTAACAGTTTTGGCCACTGGTCACCTCCACAACGTTCCACGACTGGTCCCACGGGTAGACGAGTGTCACGGGCGAGTTTGCTCGGACGCGTGACGACCTTGCCCAGCCGGCGAGGCCAGACCGAGACGGCCGCGGGATCGATGGTCGACGRYGACAAGCAACGGCGGCTAGTGCGCGATGTTAGCGCTTTGATGGTCAACGGTGAGACGACTCTAGCGACAGACTTGCAGCGAATACCATTGGACACGAAGCAAAAGAATCGAGATTTGGTGCATGTCGCGGAATGGACGGTGATCGCTATACGGACAAGCGACCCGGCCGATGTGGGTTTAACACGCGACGAAAAGGTGAGAGCCATCGGACCGCCGTACGAACGACGTGCCGCGATCCTTGACAATCGGTAATTTTCGTCCTGGCGTCGTCTCTTCAGCCGCGTCTTTGTCCTGCAATAACCGTCACCACGAAGTCGCACGCCACCGGACCCTGAAACATTCATAGTTTCCTCTGGTTCGTTGCCGGTGACATCCGTGTTCCTAACACATAAATCTCTATACCACTTACCTCGAGCCAATGTGTCCGCCACTTCCATCGTAACGAGTCGCCATCACCGCCGTCATCATCGTAGGTACGGTCGGGGCGGAATCGTTGCCCACGCCGTTACCTCAACTAACCACCGTGCCATCGACATCGTCGTCCATCGATCCACGTGACTGTAACTGCCGGGCGCTCGCCGAGTCGCCAGAGGGTCTCGCACGTCAACGACGACCGAGAGCGCTACGCTCGTGAACCCGTCTCTACGTGGGTGGTCGGGAAACGCGTTCGGGTGACTTACCGCCATGCACCTTCCGGGCTCTTTCCCGTATCCTCCCCTCCTATTCGTCGCCGTCTTCCTGACGACATCATCGGCCCTTTGGGGACCGCCAGACTAACGTGGGTCGCGGACGGTTTCTCTTCGCCAGCAACACAGACGTCGGAAAATCCGCCTGACGCCTTTCCAGCACGAGGTCTTGTACCTTCGTGKCTGGTCGGATTTTCCGGTTGTTGCTGGCGGGTCCAGCCTACCTACGACCTCACCGTTGTCTGGCTCTTCAATGCCCTGAGCCGGCTCAATTCCATTTTCAGCTTCACACGTCTTCTCTGCATCGTCGAGTGGGCCGTCATTGGGAATCGGAGTGGTTTCGACAGGCCCCGACTCGAAGAACGGCGCGTCGCCACTCGACCATGCACTACTGTCTACTGAAATTGACAACTGGTCATCAGTATCTTTTACATCTTCTGTGTCGAACTTTGTGTCTTCGGGGACCTC